TGCCATCACCAGTGTGGGAATGTGTGTGTGACTGGATATGTAAAGCGCTTTGGGGTCCTTAGGGACTAGTAAAGCGCTATATAAATACAGGCCATTTACCATTCTGCTGTGAGGTCCTGCCTCCACGTACTTTTGGAATTAATCACTGGACAGCTGGACAGGTATGTTTATAAGTAATATTATATTAGGCCAATTTTCCTAGACATATTTTTGACCTGGGGGTAGAATTGATTGTGAACTGGAAAGGGTGAATGCTTATAACCTTGTAAAGTAAAAACTCGATGTATTTCAGGTCATCCTGTTTTTATTTTAGAAGAGAAAGAAAGAAAGAAACTGTTGTTAGGGTGCCTGGGTCGTCGAGCCAGTGTTTTGTGTTTTTGGTTCTTTGATTTTGATTATTTCATTATATTCTAGCTGTGCCTTATGGGTTATAGGTTTATTCTTAGCTTAGGTTTTCTGTGTGGGTTTTGTTAGAGTTTTAGTGTTCTGGTTTTCTGTCTATGATCCATAGTTGCTGTCTCCCCTGTCTGCTGTCTCTCCGTGTCAAGTCTCTGTGTTATGTTTCCTGTTTTACTTTAAAAGTCCGTGTCTCATGTTAATGTGTGTGATTTTGCTTCCTTTGTCTCGTGAGCCCTGATTTGTCCCAACTGCGTTTCCCTCCTGTTTCCCATTCCCTGATAGCTCCCTCTGTGTATTTAAGCCCTGTGTTTCTCTGTGTCAGTGTTGCGATCTACCCTCATATATGCTGTGTGGTCTGTCTGGGTGACTGGGTCCTCCATTTCACCACTCCTGCCTGCACGCAGCCTTCACATGACAGAAGATTGCAACCAGAACATGGACCCCGCAGACTTTTTCACTTCGGAGTTGGATGCTGAGATGGAAGGGCTGGTTAAATTGCTGGACCGCATATCCCAGTCCAACAGCCTATGGGCTATGTCTGTGGGACTGAGCACAGTGGAAGCAATGGTGAAAACCAGCCCCTGGTTTCAGCAGTTTGCTTCGGAGGGGGCAGGTCAGGGAACGTGAGCTTGCCCTCTCTCTCACCACGCCAACGCACCAGCGGTCTGAGCTCGCCGTAAAGCAGCTTCCGCAGCGCTCACCACAGCGGGACAGAGTTTCCGCGCCGCTGCCACGGTTTTCGTCTCCCTCGTTCGCCTTTCCGTTCGCCTGCCTTTTTCCTGGCGGCTATGCGTCGGAGGATGAGGAGGTCGACTCCATTTCTCCACTGGTTCCCTCTTCCAGAAGGAAACGTCGCCCTCGCCAATCCTCTCCTCAGCCCTTTTCCGTGATTACAGAGCAATTCGCAGTGGTGAGTCACGAGAGCGCTTTTCCTGTTTCTGCTGCTGTTACTGTTCTGGCTCTTGACAAAGCGGTCGCACCTTTCTCCTCTCCTCCTCCTCCTCTCCCTTAGCTTCCCTGCTTAGCCTCTTGTGTCCTTGTCAAGTCTCGTGGTTTTTTTTGTAGTACTTTTCCCCGGAACACTCTCTCACAGTCTGTTCTCTAAAACCTAAAAGAGGAATTATGGATTTGATCAACTGGTCCCTGAATGCAATTGACACCCTTTTCTCAACGAGAAGTCTGGGCTCGGGTGAGCCTGAGTGCCCTGGAGGTACTTTCCCTGCCGGATACACGATGGACGGGTGGTATAACTGGAGGATCGTGTGCCTGGCGGGACTGTCGATCGAGGACCCTGAAGATATTCACTTTTTAAAATAAAATAAACACACACAAACCAAAAGCAATCAACAAGAACACAAAGCTGGCAAACACACCGGATTGACCAAAATCAACTCAAAATACTCCCACACAAAGGAACCTCCTCTCTTCCTCGCTGGCTCCCTGTTTCTCAATAGAATGATCCATGGTTAGCTATCTCTCACCATCAAAACACTCGACAAATCCTCCGAATGATTCACTTCCTTATGAACCACTGAATCAGGTGCCAAAGCATTATCGTTCCAAATGAAGCTTGGACGCCACTGATCACGTGACTCTGGCCAAACGAATGAAGCCTCGACACAGTGTTTCTGAAACAGTGTGCTGGGTTTTATGACACTCGCGCCGGAGCGTCAGCTTCAAGCAGGCCATCACTAGTTCAATCCATCATCCAAAAATGGAAAAAGTATGCCACATGCAATTTGGCAGGAGCCATGTAGGGGACACAGCAATCAGGTGGAAGATGTTCTGGTAAGACAAGACCAGAGTTGAGCTTTTGAGCCTAAATGCCAAGCGCTACATGAGGCGGGAAAGTAACACTGCTCATCACCCTGAACACACAATTCCCACTGTGAAACATGGTGTGGAAATATAAAGAATATTAATGTGTTAAAATGGCCCATTAAAAGTCCAGAAATCCCACTGAGCATCTGTGGCAAGACTCGAAAATTGCTATTCACAGACGCTCTGCATCCAATCTGGCTGAGCTTGAGCTATTTTGCAACAAAAAATAGGCAAAAACTTTGGTCTCTACATTTGCAACGCTGGTAGAGACATACCCCAAAAGACTCGCAGCTGTAATTGCAGTGAAAATATTGACGCAGGGGATCTGAGTGCAATTGCATGCCACACTTTTCAAATTTTCATTTGCTTAAAATTTTGAAAACCATGTATCGTTTTTGTACCACTTCACAATTTTGTGCTCTTTGTGTTGGTTTGTCACAGAAAACATCAATAAAAAACATCAAAGTTTGTGGATGTAAGGTGACAAAATGTGTCAAAGTTTAAGGTGTATGAATACTTTTTCAAGGCACTGTATATGCGCCATATGATGTGATGAATAGTAACACTTTGACTGAGGAAGCACTAACACGTATGTTTTTATTGATTAATAACAAAGATGTATAGTAACCAGTCCAATGATAGCCATAGATATTCAAAGCAAAAATGATGAGGAAAGAGGAGCACACATCAACAGTAACACTTTCTGTGAATCACACTCTAACATATAAAAAGAAAAGCTGCTGTAAAGCTGCACGACTGAACAACAATCCAAAGATTCATCATTCAAAGTCTGTTTTATGTCTGTTTTCTCTTAAAGCTCGCAAACACAAACACAGCTGTAACAGCTGGACTGTGCCCTACATTATAAAGCTAATTGAGGTGACTGTTGTTGTGAGTTCACGCTACACAAATGAAGCTGAATTATAAAGAATTAAATTCATGATTGATTTAAACATGAGCAGATACACAAACACCGAAACTCTGACAGCAAAATGAGGTTCATTGAAAAGTAATGCAGGAACTGGTATTCTGATTACACTGCTGTCTTAACTTTCACTCGAGGCCAAACGCTGGTATTTGACCTTTGACATTTTGGCCCTGTACAGGAGCGCTCCACAGATCATGGCAACAGCAGCAAGAAGACATCCAGCGATGAAGACCAGGTTCAGGTTCAGGTTGTTCCCTGAAGACCACAATAGAACCTCAGCATTGTTCACACTTTAGTGAAAGTCAAACAAAGAAGCTAATGTTAAGAAGCACTTTGTGTTTCCATACCTGCACTCATGCTGGTGTCTGCTGACCTCTTCAAACGCAGAGGACCCTGGGAAACGAAGTGCACTGCAGTCTGGATGGCAGAGTCCCTCTTTCGGCGGTGGGAGTGGTCGTGATTGTTTGATGTGGAGTTGATGCATCCCTGTGAGCACCTGCTGTTGGGATTCCCTGCTTCACACATCATTACTGAACAGCTGATGTATACCTGAGTGAAACAGGACACACTGTCAGTACATCAGCAGACGTACAGTTGCCCCCTCTAGTGGAACAAGAGCAGAGCTGCAGTCAAACCTTTGCTTCTCCATCCCAGCCCAGGAGAAAGCACAAATGTCACAGCCTAATTAACTTCATGTGTTTCTGCACAGTTTGTTATTGTAAATCTGTAGACTACTACAATGGATTTCAAATCAAAACAATGAAGATAAATGAAGCAGTTCAGCAGCAGTATTGCATTATTTGTTCAGGAATTCGAGCCATTTTTATACATTTACCAAATATTAAGAGTCTCAAAAGTAATATGACATTGACTGACGAGTAGTGGAAATAGTTTTCCACCACAAGCACATAAGAGAACTCTAAGAAAAGTTTAAAAGAGCAACTAAAAACGACATAAATACCTTTAAAATGAGACTAAAATTGGGCATATTTATTAGTGCTTTTAGAAATTGGAGCTTTTAGATATCTACAGTTCTTTACCTGATCGTGCAAACCGATGAACTTGAAGGCCTCGATGCAGAATCTAAACTGTCTCTTGTTGTCCGTCTCATGGATCATCACAGTTGGGTCCACGGGGCACCTAATCAGAGCCGAGCACAAAGACGACACAGCTGCTGTAACTTCATGTCTTACAATCAAAGCTGCTACAGGAGCAGAGACATCACAGGGTTTCTGCAGCATTTCAGAATCAAAGAAAAGAGAAAACTTTGGTAAAACTCTGGTTTTCCTTCTTTTCTTTTATATATTGATCCAATGGTGGGTTTTCGTATCAAACTTGGCCAAATGATCAAATGTTGAGGTAACTGATGTGCCCTATATTATATACACTTCACTTCCTTCAGCACATGCGTACCCGTCTTCAATGATGGAGTAGGTTGGCTGGTAATTGGGGTTGTCGTACGGTGAGGCTCTGCAGGACTCCACAAACATCTCGGTGTCGTTGACTATGGAGGACGCATCTATCTCCATGTAAATCTTCTGCCCTACGTCGTACTCCAGAGGGTACGAACTGGGATCAATGATGCTTCTGAACTGGTTGTCGGGGTAAAACTCAAACTGGTAGGTGAACGTGCCGAAGCCTTTATCAAACACTTCCACCATCGTCCTGTGTGCTGTGAAGCCCAGTGACACGTTCCCCTTTTTGGGGTACTGACAGTAGAACTCTACTTCCAGGTTATGTTTCCTGGTGATCAGAGCTCCGCTGTCATCCACTGTGGTGATTTCATTCTTGAAAATGAGATGTTCCTCGTCCTCCTGCAGAGTCAATCATCACTCTGTCAGTCCTCGTTCTGATATCTAAACCAACAACAACAGAATAGATACAAAGGAGCTCTGGTTACCTCGATCTGAGTGCCACAAGCATTGAGAGGGATGACGCCGATGATGTGAGTGCTGTTGGAGTATCTCTCCAGGCTGCAGAGGGTGTTGCTGGGCTCACTGAGACGCAGGTGATCCTCACGGAGTCCACGGAGGGACGATTTCTCCACCTCTACTCTCATTTCAGACTCAGTGCAGATCACGTTGGTTTTAACTGAAACAAGTTAAAAACATATAAAATATGTTATGATGTAAAAAAACATACAGACTTAGAATTTACCTTATGATACCCATTCAAAGGACTCTTCATTAAGCTAAACCTAATGCAATCCAACACAACAGATTTAAAGATTTACAATTTCAGTTTATTTTAATGTTGCCAGAAATATGTCAAAATCCTCCAACTCCAATTTTCAAAAAGTTGGAGTGTTAACTATAAAACGAATGCAGTGAAGAAAATATGTCACATATTTGAACACACACAGCACCTTATAAAATAAAATGCACACATTTTGGTATCAAAGATGATTTTAGACTCACTTTCCTCAGTTCCAACTTTCAAGATGACACACCTCATCTCGGACTGATAGACGCCGGACCTGAAGAGACAGAACGATGATAAGTTGACTTAATGTGTGACTTAAAGGATTTTCCTTTTT